TATTGATACTTTGTCTTGGGCTGTGATGCTAACTGTATGCTCTGCTCTGTCTGAAGTGTTATTAGACTTTTATTTGTGCCATATTTTAACGCAATTTGTCAATAAAGAACTGACTAAGCTGGAAAAGCTGAGCTGATTTGTGCAGGTAAACAAGTCTCACATTTATATTTACAGTCACAAGTTTTTCAGTTACTTGCACTCACCAGGATTGAACCAGGATTAAAACAGCACAAAAATAGGACTAAACCAGGTCTAAACCAGAACTGAGACAGACCATCGGGTCACTGTAGGAGAATGGAACAACATAGAGCTTCAGGTCCCACAAGGGTAAGAGCAGCCGTTCCCTGATTGCGTTTTGCGGACACCCTGCTCCGTGGACTCGGGGTTCTCTCTCTCTCATTGTCAAGTCCAAGTTTAGAGCTGGTTTAAACCTGGTTTAGATGTAGTTTAGTCCTGGTTTAGTCCTGGTTTGATCCTGGTTTAGACCTAGTTTAGTCCAGATTTAGTCTTGTTTTAGTCCTGGTTTAGACCTAATTTAGTCCTGATTTAGTCCTGTTTTAGACCTGGTTTAGTCCTGGTTTAGACTTGGTTTAGTCCTGTTTTAGCCTTGGATTAGACCTGGTTTAGTCCTGGTTTAGACTTGGTTTAGTCCTGGTTTAAACCTGGTTTAGTCCTGTTTTAGCCTTGGTTTAGTCCTGGATTAGTCTTCTTTTATTCCTGTTTTAATCCTGTTTTAGACCTAGTTTTGTCCTGATTTAGACCTGATTTAGTCCTGGTTTAGTCCTGGTTTAGACCTGGTTTAGACCAGTTTTAGTCCTGTCCTGGTTCATGTGTTATAGAGTATGATTTATATTCTGTAGGTGATTCTGAAGGCGTTAATCTAAATAACATGATTCCGCATCATTGTGATTTAAAAAAAAACAACATAACATATTACTTACTTTTACTGGGCTGGTGCCTTTATGTTTGTTTGGGGGGTTCACATCAATGACGTCACAAATCTCGTACCCCCACTAAACCACTGCTCATATTCATCACAGGCTCCTGAAAATGCATTATTTAAATCCATTTTGTGTTTTGTCTTGAGTTTTCTTTCTTCAAACTTTTCTTGACAGCGTTTGCTAATGCGTAATTTTCCACCACAAAACTATAGGATTCCAACAGAAGTATGTTCAGTAAATTCTTGTCAACAATCATTCAAATTCAAATCTTTTAAAACCATAAACTGATTTATCACACATTTCAGTATTTTCAGCGTTGTTAAAGAGCGCAACTGCTTAAAACTAGCCCCGGCTTTTGAGGATTCTACTATGAGTTTTGCTTGCACGCAGGTTGTCAGATTCTGGGCACGCTTAGATTGGATAATTGGCCTTTGGATCTTGCAACCTGGCATGAGACGGTGTTACGGGCAATTACGTCGCACGGATTGCCGAAACTGGCTTTTTGCAGTCATTTCAGAAACCATTTACCTCTCCATTCTCCAAACAGACACTAGTGAAGGAATGTAACAAAGTAAAAAAGTACTACTGCACTTCCGTATACATTTTAGGTATCTGTACTTTACTTAAACCGATTTTGAAGTTAGTTTTTATTATTGTTTGAGGCCTGCTGAAAAGCCTGAAGGGTTTGGGCAAACAAAAATATACAAATAAAATCTTTAACAAAATCTCTCCATTTGATGCTTTATTACATCTGAAAATCTGCTCAAAATATTGTTACTTTTTACTCTTTAAAGGTGCTCTACGTAACTTTTTGGTTGGGGGTCCATCACCTACTTGTTTCTACAGATATCCGCTCTATCTGGAATGTTCCAAAGTGTAATATTAAACAGTTCTACTAGGTGTTTTATAGCTCAAAATTGCCAAAAAATAAAAAATAAAAATAATAATATAGGCATTCTGAATGAGTGGAGTCGCCTCTCCACAGATCTGACCTGTAACTTGGTCTGGTTTCAATGAAGATAGAAAGGTTTAATACCATACTGTGAAACAGTCCAGACAAAGCAATAACATCTCCTTGGAGAAAAGCATTTGATGGACCCTCTACTGGAAAAGTTACACAATGCACCTTCAAGTAAATGGGCGGCAAAAGAGAATTTTAATTTGTTAACGGGACAAACGTTTATTTAGGTCAAAAAATTTTGCTTCTTCAGTTCTGGTCAGATGCTGGTGGACACTTCCTTACATCTGCCTGAAGGGAGGAGCTAAATACACTGAAACTACTCTGAAACTAAAACAACTAATAATGTATAAATGTTTGTCCAGTTAACAAATCGAATTTCTCCTTTGCCATGGATTCTACTAGCCTGATTCTTCAGCTGTTTCACTTCGTAGAAACCGTCTGACCTCGCCACATTAGGATTCATTCGCTCTACGGTAGGCGGGTACTTTTTTATTTAACCAATCGCTGCTATTTGGTCGTGATGTATGTAATGCGCCACTAAGGGGGCTAACTGGTTTATTAAGCTTTTCCCAAATCCCGTAGGAAGAAGGAAAATAACTTTCCCCTTGATGAAATTCACCAAACATTCTATTTATTCCGGCTTTAAATCCTCGATCTCGGGAATTGGTGCCTGGACTCGCACTTCCGGGGTTCTTGCAAACCGTCTAGGGCAGGCATGTCCAAACTATGGCCCATGGGCCAAATGTGGCCCTCTGACAAATTTTTCTTGGCCCTCAGGCTTCCAGGTGAATCAGTTAAATATTAACTTTTAACATATATATATGAAATATATTTTTGAAAATCTACCTTGATAAAGCTAAAATTTTAAATTTAGTGTGTAGTTTTAAGGATCTTAGCATGAATAAAGTCTGATGGCTTATTGTAACGTGTTAAAAATACACATATTTCAATTATTCACTGCATTGAGCACCAGTCTGTGGCCCTCAATCAGCTTTCTGCTTTGTCTGTGTTTAAATATTTGGCCCTTGATGGAAAAAGTTTGGACACCCCTGGTCTAGTGTATTCAGATTCCTGACCTAGTCGCTGGAGAGAAATGAAATTGGGGCCAGGCTAGATTCTGCCTGGATGATTCTACACGTCTGTTTAAAACGAGTACTTTTATTTTAGTAGATTTTTTCAATGTGATACTTTTATGTGAGCTTTGTTTTGTTTCTTTTTATTGTTTCTATATCTGTACTTTCACTTAAGTAACAAAACTGACACTCCTCTGACACACACCAACGGGAGCTTGGAAGCGAAATCCCCAACTTAAACTCATTTAAACCCGACTCTTTACACCAGCATGCACACACGATACCTCCAGGCCGTTTGGACCACCCTGAACGCGCAGTCACGCCGTGGTATGGAATTTCACATGCCAGATTGCGTCCATTGCTTCTCATTCTCTTCGCCGCAGTCCCCGAACCGTTTTCCCCCCTTTCTACGCTCAAATGATTCAATTAAACATCTCTTCAACAGCCGTGGGTTTGAAATTCCAATTCCGCTGTGTGTGTGTATGTGTGAGCGTACGGTATTTAAAAGCATTAGCACCTGCTCTTCCTACGCTCAACCCCGAAGCCACGAGATAATCGCATTCAACGTTTGCGATATTAGAACTACAGATAAACAGAAAGGCAAGTTTGGGGAGTTAGCGTTGTTACGTAAGGTGAGGTAGCCGCTGCAGGGTACACAAAAGCCGGTGTTACGGAGCGCGGGCCAGGTCTGTTTAATGAAAGTAAAAACCAGCCCACCTGTTCGGAGAGTTTTAACCCGGGACCTCATTAGGAGACTGTTTTATTTCCGCCACATTAGCTGCACAATATGTTAGCGTGCTCTCTGCTCCCCAACAGCCATGTCGGAGTACACCCACGATGAACACTCCGCGCTACAGGACTCCAATAAATCCATGAGAACATTATTAAAAAGTCAGATTTCAAATGTGGTTTTGGGGGGGGGTTCATAATATTTGAAAATATTTTTGGCTCGCTGGTCTGGCAGTGACGGGTCGTTGGCTTTAACTGCTGAATAGAGTGGAAGTGCACAGTTTCTAAATGTTTGTTCTGTGGTTATTATTTTGTTAATGTGGTTCAATTAAAGCGGCACTATGTAACCTTTCTGGTCACGTACTTGTTTCCATGGAGGTATTGTGTTGCCAGAAATGTCAAAAGATGGATAAGTTTAAAAAAAAAAAAGTCACAATAGCCTCTGTTACTGGTCAGATCTGTGGAAAGGCAGGATTTAAAAGTGCCTGTAAAGAAAAAGTCAACGTAGATAAAGCAAGATAGGACTTTAATGCCATACTGTGAGACATTTTAAGCAAAGAAATAATATCTCTGTGACATTTTCATAGTTTGAAACTATTATTGAAAACATCTGACAACTTTAGAATTGGAAAGGTATTTAAAATGTCAGTGCTTTTGTGATCTAGATGTAGGTCTGCTCCATTATGGAAAAAAATAATTTTCACGATTCTTTTGGTCAATATTGAAATCACAGTTATTGAAACAATTTTATTTTTATTTACATGATGCATTTATTCAGCATTTCTCTCAAAAACCCCCCACAAAAAACTTTTAAACTGAAAAGTAATTTTGCAATTTATAAAACATAAAATGAATAAAATATACTATGAACATGAAATAAGGCATAGAAAAATATAGAAGTATGCTAAATAAACTATATATCCAGCTGTTCTACAATCTCTACATTTAAAAAATAAAATAAATATACTTATTTATATAAAAAAATCCCAAAATAAGCTTTGTTAAGCTTTGTTGTTTCAGTTTGAATATATGAGTTTGCAGATTGTTCGACACACAAAATTGAAATCTTGATCAAAATTAAATTAATTGCACAGACTTACCTAGATGTTATTTTTGATTAACAAAGGTGGAAAATAAGAGAATTTCAGTTGACATTTTGTGTACTAACTATACAAAACTGTACGGTTCATACTACTTTTACAGTAACTTTTGATCTGTAAATGATGTTACAAATACACATATACTAAAATAACTTCTCAAGCATGTCTAACTGATGTCCTCTTTTGTCTTGTTCAGGTACGACTACGTTGAGGTCCGGGATGGCGTGGATGAGAGCGGTCAGCTGGTGGGAAAGTACTGTGGTAAAATCGCTCCTTCGCCCGTGGTCTCCTCCGGAAACCAACTCTTCATCAAGTTTGTGTCGGACTACGAGACCCACGGAGCGGGATTCTCCATACGCTACGAGATCTTCAAGACAGGTCAGTCTCCATACTAGGTCAAAACTTCCATACAAATGTGTACGACTGTAGTTCTTGTCGATTAATCGGTTGATGACCAAAGTTTTTGTTAGTCAATTAATTGTTTTATTTTGATTTTAAGGATTTATATAAGACAGCCACCTCAAGGTAGTGGGTTAGGTTAAAGTGCATTGCTGTGTAACTTTTCTGTTGGTTGGTCCGTCAGATGCTTTTCTCCATGGACAGCATGATTTAAACCTTTTTTTCTTCATGGAGACCAAACCAGACCAAATTACAGGTTAGATCTGTGGAGAGGCGACCCCGCTCACAGTCAGAATGTCTGTTTTTATAGGTATTTTTGAGCTATAAAACCACCTGTAACTAAATAAATAAAAGGTAGAGGCAATGACATCTCCATAGAGACAAGAAAGTGACCCTCCAACCGAAAAGTTACACAATCCACCTTTAAGATTTGAAAGTGAAGCATGAGTTTAACCTGCCTTTTTACATATAAGTACACTTTTTCCAAGTAGTGTAAACTAGTAAACTCCATTTCGATACCAAGGAATAGACTTGATACTCAGTACAGATTCCGATTCCAGTGCCACGGATGCCTTATGTCAGTGTTTCCCCAAACTTTTTTTCTGGAGACCCATATTTTAAAAGTCATAAACCTTCACGACCCATGTCAATAGACATTATTTGTAAATCACAAAATAAAGGTGGATCTGACCATTACTGAACATGAATAATTCGTGTAAACAAGCAGCAATAAAAGGATCCATAAGTCGCCGATTTGGACATTAAATGTAGAACATTTCTTTTTCTTTTCAGCATTCAATTGAATAGCAATATTCAAACAAATAAAATCATTATAAAAAGATTAGAAATTATACAAAACATGTCTTAACTTTTCAACATTTTTAATGAAATAGGTGGGCCTGTCTGTGTTTTTGTAGCCAGGGTGCAGGAGGAGAGCTCAATACACAGATCAGTGTCACAACTGTACATTGCAGACCTACATGCAGATCGTGACAAGATGACCCAAAAAAAAATCTCTTACGACCACCTGAGGATCCCAGTCTTTGGGAAACAATGCCTTAACTGACTTTGTGCTCTTATACTTGTTCAAGATCATTCTAAAGCTATTCAGGAAAAGATCAGTTCCGTCCTGCGAATGTGACTTTTTTAGTACTGATACCTGCTCAAATAGAGTCAGTAGTTTCAATACTAGTTTTCGTATCGATTGGTACCTCATTTTTGGTACTTTTGACAACCCTATTTTGTAGAACTTATCTGTAGAAATAGATTTAGATTTAGATTTAGTGAGAAATCTTCTGTTTTCTCTTGTGAATGCAGATATTTGATCAGATATTTTTAGCCTTATTATACACATAGTTAATAGTTTCTTGCCACGCCCCCTTTTTGTCGCCTAATCCATCAGCTCTTTAATCGACCAATAATTTCCTCAGCTGACCACGGCCCCGCGAACGTGAGCTGAGGCAAGTTTTTCCGACACTTTTTCATTCTCAAATATAAACACATTAGCGAAACCACGGGGTGAAAATTTGAAAGCACTTTCTATTCCAAGTTGGCTCTACCACATACAGTGAACAATATGCTGCGCTATAAAAAGTGCGGAGGTATTTCTGATAATGGGTCTAGAAGGAGCATCTAATTTCATGCTTTGTTTGTGGCTTATTCAAAGCACCGGAGCATCAAATTATGCAATCGCAATATGGCAGGCAATATGCTCTGTTCAAAGCCCACGTATCACACTCCCATATGTTCCGTAATTGTAGTGGTTATGATGTAGTGCGAATTATAACAATAAGCAAGTGCATCCATTTCACAGCTTTCATTTAATAAAGCTCTATCAATACTTTTCCAACAGACTTTGGCGTTTTGCCGGTTAACTGTTGTGGGTTTTTATTATACTGTATGTTGTAAATGTGAGAATAATTAGAAAACGTTAGCGCGCAGCCAAGACTTGATGAGTTCAGCGATGTTTGCGTCTTTATGTGTGCGAGGAAAACTGTGAGTAATGCCGGGCAAAATGTGTAGCTTTTTTGTGCTCATTAAGCTCCATAATCTAAAAGCAAATACAGTTCTCTCATGTGGCGTGGAAGAGCTATAAAATACTATGACAGAATTATTGGGGCCACTTTATCATGACTACAGTGTAATTACCCATAATAAAGCATGAAGAAAGGCTTAATTCATAGTAACAAATGGGTTCTTGATTCAGGTTTAGCAACTACTCTTTTAATCTTCTTTCTTTTCCTTAAATATATGTTATTATTTGATGTACTCAGATTTCACCCATAGATTTAGATGGGTATTATAACTATTATGGATTTAACGATATCCAAATCTCATGGTATGATATTTTCAGGATATAAATCTCAAGGTACTATACTCACTGCGATATTTTGTGGAGGCAAACAAAACTGTGAATATGGTACATTTTCCTCATAAAATGCCTTGACAAAACTTAATAAGAAAGTGCGGTAACACTTTATAATAACTACACCTTATTTAGCCTTAATAAAGCATGAACAAAGACTTAATTAATAATGATTCACGCTTAGTAACTACTTAATTACTACCTTAATTAGCACTTAACTTGCACTTAATTCACCTGTGCTGTAAATAGTAACTCAGTACTTCTTAATTACTCATGAACTAACCATTTGCATGTTTACAAATGCATATTTAAGTTCACATTTGAGCATTTATTAATGATTAGTAAGCTATGAGAGAATGATTTACTAATAATGCAATTCAATGATAATGTTAGTTAAGTCTTTCTGAGAGCTTTTTTAAAGTGAAGACTAATTATGTTTATTAAGCATTTGTTAAGGTTGGTCAAATTCCACAGAAACAATAATGCATTACTAGTAAATCATTTTCTCATGGCTTACTAAACATTAATAAATGCTCAAATTTGTACTTAAATATACATTTACAAATACACACGCAAATGGTTAGTTCATGAGTAACTAAGTAGAAGAAATACTAATGAGTTACTATTTGCAGCACAGACGAATTAAGTTCAAGTTAAGTGCTAATTCAGGTAGTAATTGAGTAGTTACTAAGCGTGAATCATTATTCAGTATTAAGTCTTTGTTCATGCTTTATTAAGGCTAAATAAGGTGTAGTTATTATAAAGTGTTACTGAAAGTGCTTATAACAGTTATTTCTTCATGTAGTCTGTACTGAAATGGAGCAAAGGATCATGGTCTATGTAGTTCCCTTTAGTGCTGCACCATAGATATTAATTTAAGTGAAGAGACTTGTAATTGTAATTTGATATATTGTGACAGTTCACGATATGACTGTGAGACCTCTGACGATACGACATCACGATATTTCAGTTACTGTTACAATCCCTAATAACTATTAATAACTACTATTATAACTTGTTTTCATTATTTATTACAGTTTTGTTCATGCTTTAGGGTCAGTTCAAATGAAATCAGATGTTTTCAAGGAATCTCCCCTGAAGTTAAGGTCTCTCAAACATGTGTATAAATTAAGGCTTCCAAAAAAGTGGGCATTGCTCCAAAATTTCAACGGGCCATAATTCAGGAACGACTCAAGGGATTGAGCTAACATTTCTGATTCTTTCATTTGGTAATTAAAAAAAAAAAATTGAATTTGAATGAAAGGCAGCTGATTTCATATAGACTGACCCTTTACTAAGGCGAATTAAAGCTACAGTAACAACAACTTTTAGCCCAAAAACTGTTTATAGCTCTGAAAAACTAAACAAAAAAAAACTAAAAATGTATTAATACTGTGAGCAGGCTTGCATCTCCACAAACCTGACTTTATTTGTTCTGGAGGAGGGCCTTCTGCTTGTTTCTATGAAAATGTTGTTCCTTTGGCTTTGTCAGTATGGCATAAAACCAAATCTATCTCCATGAAGAATGTTCTGCGGTATGGTTTTAACTTTCTATTTCCATGCAATCATGCAGGTGACGTGCCACCTCCAGAAAGTTACACACTGTACCTTTAAAGTGCAGTTATCATAGTGTTACCTTATTTGCCGCTTGAGCTTTTATGGCTGTGCTGTTGTGCTGTTGTAGTCTGTATTTATCATACACATAATCACACTGTTGAATGGAAATGTGACTATTTTCAGAAACACAAGTGAAAATCGTTCCATTTTTAAAAACAGAAATATTTCACTTTGACAGAGCCCATATCTTACGTCCTGTCCTCTCGAGGTTATCTGGCCTGTATCTTGCCTTTTGTTTCCCCTCTTTGTTTTGTTTGGTCTGGATTGTGGAATGAGGTGGAGGAGGACATCACAGATCTAGACATCAGTTTGAGAGCAGACAGGTGCTACAGACCCCTCTTTCATTAATTACCTCCGCTCCAGCCCGCGGGCCCCCGGCTGACCTCAGGAGACATGACGAATGGCCCCGCGAGGTCCCTCTTTTCCTTTTTAATCTGGCCCCGGGTGAACCTGCAGTGTGACGCTGCGTACTTTAGGACAACCAATCTGGGAGAGGAGGGTCGGCCGCTGCCAGCTGGTGCGGGGTCAATTTAGGAGATCAAAGCTGCGCTCCACCCACGCAACATAAAGGCATTTACGCTAAAGAAGCTCATTCCGACTGATCGCGTGGGCTCAATCCACTCTGTTTTTATGATTAGCTTCAGTTGGGGATGGAATTATTAGCATATAGCATGTAGTGCCAACCAATTTTTGCTAAAACCTTTGCTAATGCTATTGGACTGAGTAATTTAAAACGTTCACTGTTTGAAAAGTTTAAATTACAGTGTTTGCATAAACGTTATCTGTAGGTCAGTGGTGTTTTTCTGGTGGCACTCATCACTTTTTTAGTTTTCCTTAATTTAGAAGTAACGGATAGTACTCCCTACAACTGTACAACAAGTCACCCTTATGAAATGTATAATACTCCCTACAACTGAACAACTGACCCTTATGTAACAGATAATACTCCCTACAACTGTACAACAACTCACCCTAATGTAACAGATAATACTCCCTA